ATTTCACAAATATTAAAAATAATTTAATCATGTATTTTTTTCTTAAACTCTTTCATTTTTATAAATATAAATTTTAAATTTTTATAAATTTTGAAAAATAGTTCAAAATCGTCAAGACAGTTTTAATTACAATTTTTTTGATGTGTCAAATAAGTGACTTTACCTGTAGTCGAGGGCCCGTTAACTCTAGAATTAGTTGTACAGATTTTTTTGAATTTAATCGATATTGCTAGGAATTATCTTTGGATTATTTGGAATTTTTGGAATCATTTGTAAATTACCGGAGTTTTTCTAAAAGTACTTACTGAAATTTTTTAAAAAATTGCTGGATTTTTTATAAGTTCTTTTTAAAAACGTCGAAATTTTTTAGAACGATCGAAAATTAAGGGAGAATTACAAGATTTATTTTGAAATTACAGAAATTAAGTTGTAATTACAGGAATTAATTTAGAATTAATCTGAAAATAATAGAATTACAATAAATTATTGAAATTTCTAGAATATCGATACTATTTTTATGGAATTACTGAAATTACTTGTTAATTACTGGAATTTTTCTAGAATTACTGAATTCTTGAGAAGAATTGCTTGAGTTTTTTAATTATCGGAGATAATTTCTTTTTAAAATTAGATAAGATTCTTTTAGAACTATCGAAATTAATTTGAAATTACAGGAATTTGTTGCACACATTTTTTTTTTCAAGTCAACACTCCCACGAATGTAGTCTGCATCTTTTCAAAAATTGATATTTGCATTTTGTCAATTTAATTTAAAACACACAAAAAACATGCTTCAAAATAGATTATAATGTATTTTTCTATCCTTGGAATCAAATTTCATTATTGTAATTGTTAGAAACCGATAAAATATTGAACAAAAGTGCAAAAATGTCCCAAACTACAAAATATTCTGAGTTCGATTTTATTCTTTTGCAGGATTTTTCTAGATTCAAATTTTAAATAAGTGTAGTCTATCAAAAAGTTAATGAAAGAACACAGATTGAAAAAATAAAAACCAATCAAAACTTTTGAATTTAATTCAAAATAAACAAATTTGGGACAATTAAGAGTAAAAATTTTGAAAAACAGCTTGCCAAAAATGACATTTAAAGTCAAAGTTTGACAACAATGAGATTGTGTTGTTGCAACTTATTCAAAGAAAATCTCCGCCGTTCCTCCCTCCTCCTCTACAAGATCCTGTTCTCCCAGAAAGAGCACACCATCCTGAAGAAAATCTTCAGTTTCTTCTTCGGCCTCCTCCTCGGCGTGGGCTTCTACTTCCTGATCCTCATCGACTTGAACTTCACCCCCGGCGCCTCAGTCCTCATGGGCCTCACCATGTGCTTGCTCCTGGGCCTCGGCAACGCCTTCTCCTCCCAAATCCGCTGCATCACCCTCCTCACCTTGCCCAGTTTCGGCGGAAAAGTCGGTCGCGGCGTGATCAAAACCTTCGTCTTGGCCTACATCCTCTCCGGTCCCGTGGAGAACATCACCATGAACGGGCGCGAAGTGGTCCGCGTCTTCGCCTGCACCACCTCCCTCACCTTCAACTTGACCAAAACCCGCTTCGAGCTCATGTTCAAGCCCTTCTCGGACGCCCTCTTCGGCATGAAGGCCGACGTGAACGAGGTGAAGGACACCATGAGGTCCATCCGGGACGTGTCGGCGCCGGTGGTGGGCGAGGTCGAGGACGAGGCCGAAATGAGGAAGCTGAAGGAGGAGAACGACTACATGGACGCCAAAACCGGCGACTCGGCCCGAAGCAAGGACATCGCCGCCAAGTACCACTCCTTGGGGGAGAAGCAGGAAGCCGAACGTTTCGAGAAAATGTACCTGAAGAAGATTGAGATGCGATGTGAGGACCAGTTCACCAAAGCGGCGCGAAATTGTCGAGAAATGTTCGGGAAGGCTTATGATAAGTGCTACGAGGCGGTGACTTGGGTGGCGGCTTGGTTGATTTGTTGGCCCATGAAGCTGGATTTTGTGTGTAATATCGCCCAGGCGTTGGGTGGGGTCAATCGCTGTGACCCCTCCAAGGACATCGATCCCGGGTTTGGGGACGGTTATGCATATTTGAAAAAATCCCGATCCCAGTTTTCCGACAATTTCAAAAACGTCAAATTGCAGTACCAAATCCCCAAAATCAAGCAATTGATCGATTTGAGGGACAGTCGGGAGACGGCCAAGGCGATTTTGCATTCAGTCAACGCAAAAAAGGCGATTTTGCGCCAATTGATGATCATTTTGAAACGAATTCTCGCGTTTATCTTCCTGAGGATTATCCTCAACGCGTCCACATACCTCGAGAAGTACTTAACTGACATCCAATTCGATAATATCTACGTCACGACGTACTACCGCCGGATTGATGCCCGAAGGAAGAAGCAGGGGAAGTACACAGTCCTCCCTTTGAAGAAAATCGAGAAGAAAAAACTCGTCGATCCTTGCACTCCGCGCCCTTTGAAAAGTGAACACCAACAACTCTTCTGGCAAACAATCCATTTGATGCTCGAAGTACTTTTCGCTACAACGTTCATACTCCTCGATCGGCTCTTCTACGAAGGTTTGGACTTGGTGCGACGGCATGCTAGGATCGATTATGTCCAAACTGGACGTCACGACATGAAATTGGAAGTCAAAGGTAATCCAAATTTTTGCGGAATTGTGTCCAAGTCCAAATTACAGGTACTGGAATGATTGCTAATTTGTTGCGGTCGGTTATCAAGGGTTTTAATATCAAAAAACGGATTCATATCGAAAGGAGTAACGAGAAGTGTCTCCCACAACCTTCACTACTCCCCAATTATTACATTTACAAGATTTATGGGACTTATGTAGTGTTGTGGTTGCTCATTCTTGTCAATATGTACACGCAAAGGCTGCGACATGCCATCTGTGGGATGTTTTACAGAAAATGGGAGAAGAGGCGAGTGTTACATATTTATAATGAGACGCTGCGACGCAGGATCGGCTTCTACAGGTATATATTTTTAGGTTTTTCATATATTATGTTTGTATGGGGTGTCTCAACAAAACAAAAAAAAAGTTTTAAAAAAGCATTCATAAAAAAAGTCATAACACGCGGAATTTTACGTCTAGAAGACCATATTTCAAGCGTTTTTACAACTTAAGGTAAATTGACTATTTTTACCATTTTACTACCGCTCATCTTAAAAAATTCAAGAAATTCAAAATTTTTTTAAATTTGACCCAATCTACACAGTGGTCTTTTATGCACTTATTTGAGTCTTTAAGACCTCTAGAAATGTAAAAAACGTTAAATGGATCAATTTTAAAATTGAATTTTTTTTTTATTTTTATCGAGATTTTAGTCGATTTTTGGCACCCGGAGCGGTCTATTGGCAATAACTCCGGACTTATTGGAGATAACCTCTTATGTTTGGTACCGTTGGATAGAAAATTGAATTTTCTATCATATATTAAAAATTTCAGTGCTCTACGATAAATAGTTATCGAGAAAATTTCTGATAAAATCAAAAATATCAAAAATATAAATCTGCTGATAACTTCAAAACTGTTAGGAATTTTGCAGTTTTCTTGACGCCAATTGATTCCCCGGAACATTTTACATAGACTTAGGTCAAAACATTACATCATTGAGGCACAGTTTTGCCGCAATTTACAAATGAAGAAAAACTAAAAATTTGTTAACACCCTAGTGTTTTTAAACATGTCTCAGATTCGATTTAAACATATCTTATCCGATAGATTTTGACGCGCTGATTACGAATTTGCCAAGTATTTTGCGCTATCTCCTTTAGTTTCGCCGTAATCGGCGTTTAAAAATTCAATTTTTTTTTGCGAGATATCGACTTGGCTTTGGCCTCAGTCGATAGATTTTCTTACGCTGATTATGATGGAGTTGAACTTTTTGCTCTATGTCTAATAGTTTGGCCGTAATCGCCGTTCAAAAAGTGAAAATTGTAAAAATTGTGAAACTTTAAACGCGTTTTTCTACGAAACTATAAGACTTAGAGCATAAAGCTAAAAAATCCTTAGAATTAGCTTGAAATTATCTATCTAATGGCGCAAACCGGAAGTCGCTCCGGGTTATGGTTCCGGGTACAGAACCATTTTTAGTTTTATTAAAAAAAAAATTAATATCTCAAAAACTATGAGTCCTAGGTCAAAACAGTTTATTCAGGCGTATTCTCCGGTTAATTTTACATATAGTGCTAGTTTTTCATAAGAATAAAAAACAATGCATCGTAGAGTATTTTAACTTGTTGCATCGTGTTCAGCGCGTAATTTTACGTCTAGAAAATTATATTTCAAGCGTTTTTACGACTTTTAGTAAATTGACTATTTTTACGATTTTACTACCGCTCACGTTGAAAAACTCAAAAAATTCATAATTTTTTAAACTTGACCCAATAACGTTTTATGCACTTTTTTGAGTCTTTAAGACCTCTAGAAATATAAAAAACGTTATATGGAAGAATTTTAAGGTTAAAATTTTTTTTGATTTTTGTCGAGATTTTGGTCGATTTTTGGAACCCGGAGCCAATAAGTCCAGACTTATTGGTAATAACCGCTTATATTTGGTACCGTTGGAAAGAGAATTTAATTTTCTATGATATAGATAACCTTTAATGTTTGGTACCGTTGGAAAGCAAATTTAATTTTCAATCACATACAGGAAAGACCAGTGTTCTACGATAAATAGTTATTGAGAAAATTTCTGATAAATTCAAAAATGTCAGAGATATATATTCGATTATAACTATAACTGCAGTTTTCTTGACGCCAGTCAATTCCCCCAAACATTTTACAGTTTTGCCGCAATTTCCAAAATAAAAAAAGTAAAAATTTGTTAACACTTAAAAACTATGCATCGTAAAGTATTTTAACCTTTTCTAGAAAACCATGTTTTAAGCGTTTTTGCGACAAAAAGTTTTTCGATACAACTTTCAACTCTAAACTTTCATCAAGTTTATTTAAAATCTTCTCTGTTTTTTTTTTAATCTTGCAAATTTAATAAATTATTTTTTTTAATGCTCAAGTGATGAGTTTCTGTTAGTTGAACAATTCAGAAAGGATTTTTTCGTTGAAAAATAAATAAAAAACACTGATACTTCAAAAGTTTTATTTTACTATTCCAGATTCATGAAGAAGAAGATCCAGAAGCTGGTCCGTCAGCGCCGCCTCCAAGACGACCTCAACGTCTTCATGGTCCTGCAGCTAAAATTCCCGCGTTTCTTCCGCTTTTTGCAGCTATTCCCGGGGGCGCGGCGCAAATGCCTCATGTGCAAAGAAGTCGAGCCTTTATGTCGCTCGAAATTCCAAGTCTGTCCGAACGAATTGTGCCATTTCGCGTACTGTCCCGAGTGTTGGGACGACTCGGGGCGCAAATGCCTCGCTTGTGCCACTCTGGACACCGACACCAGCAGCGGCCTAGACTCCTCCGACGACGACGCCGATTGAAACACAATCGAGGTAATTTCGCTTTATTCAATTAAAAAATAAATAAATACAAAGTCACTTATCACTAGTTCAGTCTTGTGTCTATTTGGGCTTGGAGACGGTGCCCCAGAAGAGGGTCGCACCGGAGGCCTCGTGTCGTATGAAGAAGATGAAGGGCCGATCGACGACGAAGTTCTTCGAGCCGCCCATGTAGTCAATGGTGGCGGCGGTGACGGCGGCGGCCTCCGTCCCCTTCTCGTTGACCGTGATTGCCACCTGTTGGATCATGTCGTCGACGCGGAGACCCGCCCCCAGAGCCGCCCCCGTCAAAAACACGTCTTTTTCGTCCACTTTTGTGAAGTTGTTGAAGGCGTCGACTCGATCGTCAAGCTTATCGACGACATTCGTCGAGTTGATTTTAATGTTTGTCTTTTTGAACGCCCTGTATTTTTTCAACTGGTTCAAGAGACTGAAACTGTACCGAAGGGACATTTTCGGGATTTTCACCACGACGTCCTTGCGACGGGTTTGGTTCAAACTGTCCAAAATCTGTCTCGATTTCAAATTCTGGGCGAATGTTTTAATATCGTATTTGTGGGGATTGTCGTTGTTCGGGAGGATTAGGTACATCCCCAGTTCCTGGTCGACGTAGGGGATGGAAATGAGGCGGAATTCGGGGGATTCGAAGTAGGGGATTTGCTCGAGGAAGTTGAGCATGTAGGTCACGGGGATGGTTTCGGTGGTGGTGACGCTGAAGAGGCCGTCACGGTTCAATTCGTGGCTGAAGGGGAGCTCCCAGTCGGCTTTGAAGTAGATGTAGTTGGCGAAAATCGAGAGAGTGGTGGGGGAGGGCGGCTCAGGGAGGATGGAAGTGATGAGGCCGCGAGTGTTGTTAGACACCCAAGTGTTGATCCAACTGCGAAAAGGTGATTTTTCAGTTTTCAATTATTTGAATTTCCCGCCTAAATTCGAAGTTTGACATTTTAAATATCGGATTTTGATTGGGTTAGGCAGAACCAATCAGAGTTAAACATTGAAATTTATTTCTTTGTACAGATTTCTCTCTTTTTTATCACTAGAAATTTAAAATTTGTCCACAAAATATAAAAAATAACATTTTCCATTATATAAAATTATATAAAAATTATATAAAATTTGTTTTTTATTTCCGAAATTGTCAGTAAAGAGTCTAAAATCGCCACTAAAGTAGTTTTTTACTGCAACCAATAATATAGATTCCAAATTGTCATATTACACGTAACTTAATAAATAAATAAGCTTTTCCGTGTTATTTTTGTCTAGAAATAGGTTCTGCACAAATTTCGTCCAAATCTGTTGTTTCAGAAAATTTGGACTCGGCTATCGCCTCGGTAATTAAGCACACATTCCTGATGAAAAATAAGACTTTAGTGCCTTATTCTTGTTCCTGATGACTATGTTTATATCGTAACGGTTTTTTATTATTATTTTAAAATTTTCTGGCTCTAGGTAATCTCTATTCTCAAAGTCTGCCTTAGGTTTAGCTAATCCATTTGGAAACAAATATTAGAGGTTATTAGTTAGTTACACAATTTTTCCATAAGAATTTGATATTGTATTTTTAAGTAAAAAAAAAAAACAAAACATTCTACAACAAACAATAATAAATAATGTAATACATGTTTGAAAATATTTTTTATTCGTTTCTTTTTTTGCAAATTCTTATTAATTTATTCTATTGTAAATATATGTTTTTTATTTATTGTATCACTTCAAAAATTCAAAGTAAGACGAAAAGAAAATAATAATAATAATAAATTCGTATCATATAAAAAGAAACTACATTTTCTCCATTGTTATGTTTTATTTTTTGTTTTTATTATTTTTGTAAAGACTAAATTCCGTTAAATTATTATTATTGTTATAACTACATGTTCGCAGCATTTTGAAACAGATAATGAGTAAGTTGCTAGCGTTTTATCACAGTCATATATGACTTTTATGACGTTTTTATCAAAGTTTAATATAAACAATGAAAAATTATCAATATATTATAAAAAATATCAACTGTATTTTTCATGTAAGTATTATTTTTTTATAACAATTGTATTTCAATTAAAACTTTACTCATTTTTCAAGTTATGCTAAAAGCATTTTGGAGCAGACATTATACGAATTTGTGGTAAAAATAAACAAAAAAGAAAAAAAACAATCTACAGCAACAATAAATATAAAAAAACATCAAACTCTCCAATAATGAATTTTTCAGTCAAATAAACAAAAACTGACTACGTTTCCACAGCATTTTGAAATAAATAAGTTGCTAGCGTTTTATTATAACGTTTTTATGAAAATTTAATATAACAATGAAAGACTAAGTAATGTGAAAGGTATTTTTAATGACTTTTTTATAACTTAACTTCTGTTCTAACTATTTATTTCACTTCACTTTTTAATATCCTTATGTTCAAATCTTTACTCACTTTTCAAGTAATGCATAAAACATTTTTAAGCAG